TGCGTTTGTTTTTTTAGGCAAGATTCATTTAATATTGTGTATATTAAAATATTGTAAATATTATAAATAGTAAATATATATGTTTTAAAGTTAGTGAGGGAGTGTTCATGTACGCTCCACTGCACAATGGTGCTGTTTGTATGCGTATGCCCGGTGGGAGTCCGCTTATTAGAAACAGCTTTATGCTTTTTTTTTATGTCAAGTCCCTGACAAATATTAGTAGTTGTTGGTTGCAGTTTTTGGGCTTGTTTCTAAAGTGTAGTTGCTTATTTGGGCTTTTTCCCTGTCTCCTGTCTCTCTCCTCTATTCCCTCCACCGTTCCTCTTCCTCCATACACACAGGTGACAGTCAGTAAGACATATTAAATCAAAGCGGGAAAAATACAGAAGAAAATACATTTGATGACTCAACAGTCATAAATGACTTGGACTTTAACACCAGTGACTCATGACTTCACTTGAACTTTAAACCTTTTGACTTGAAAATACTTGATTCCTTCAACCAAGTCCAAACATGTTATTTAAGGCCAACAATGTTATTTACACACATTATCACAAATCAGTTCATTTTCCTTATTAATCCTGAATCAACTAACGTTTATGCTATTCATTCCCAACAAGTCGACACTTAATTCCTCAGACCAACTCGGTCTGAACCAGTCTGGCAGCTTCTAATCAAGTTGCAGGAGAGAGCCATGAAGAAAAGTTACTTCACAGAGTGCCAGTTGGATAGAATTATACCAAAGATCTTTTTTTTTTTCATTCTCTCTGTTGTTAAAATGGAATTACATCTCGAGAAGATCACATTATGGATTGTTTAGGACTCGAAACTCAAGTTTAGTATATTTTAGGACTGGGGACTTGCCTGTCTTGACTTGAAATATGAGTGCAAAGACTTAAATCTTACTTGTGACTTGGTCGAACCTCTGGTGTGCAGATTCTGTAAATCTGAAAACTGTAAAACTTCAAATTAGTTAGTCCTTTACTAGCCTGGTGTGGCTTCATGTTTAGACAGATACATAAATATAAATGTTTAAAGTTTTGTTAATATGGACATACTACACATCATTAGATTGTTAGGATTCTCCACAATTCAAAATCAATTATTGATTTGTTATTAATGATATTCACACTGGTTTGAATAAACAGCTTCATAGTATCTCATATCTTCTTATCTAAGAGTTTTATGTAAAAGGAATTAAAGGCCTGTTCCAGATAAAGGCAGGTTGAGTTCAGTGACTGAAGCAAATAAAAGGCTATTAATTTAAGTTTTACAGTCCATGCAGATCTCGTTCAACCAGCACTTAAACATTTTTAATATGTAGCATTATTCTCGTTAAAGCGGTTTACAGACAACAAGATATCTTGTTCGTTGCTTATTTTCTGACGGGCAGTTGGTTCTGTTCAACTACTTTAGACTTAAAAAGAAAAATGTAAAAGTTCAGTATTTTTGAAATGCTAAAATAAATTCATACATGTATGATTCAATCAAGTGTTGTTTTCCCACTCTGATGAACAGATTAACACACAGTGTCCGGAACAATCCCTGTGCAATAACATCCACTGTACCTGTAAATGATTTATTCTCATGGTTTAAATACAGTTGGTTTTTTAAACATGTAAATAGCATTAATCATACACAAATCTACATGTACTGTATCCACCTACCTCATTTATATAAAGCAACCTGCTACAAAGAAATCATCCTTTAAACTCTGCACCATTGTCTTACTGCCTACAAATGTTGCTGCTGTTATTTTATAGATAAATATATATATATATATATATATATGCATCTATATTTGCACATAGTACTTTAATGATTATGTTTACCTTGTTGAGCTTGCTTTATATATGTCATTTTATGTGTGTACATCGAGAGCAACGTGAAACTGGAGTCAGATTTACAGTTTCCAGTAGCCAATAAAAGGGACTGGGATTTTATTTGCTATTGTTGTCTTTAATTTGGTCAACTCTTATTTTTAAATGTGCTATTTCAATCAATTTAAATAGATTTTACATTCTGCATTATAAATACAAGTCGTGTTGCGTTGATCGGCCACTAGATGGCGCTACAATCCTCTTGAATCCACAGAATGTAGGTCACTCAGTAAAACGGTTCAATCATGTTTAATGCTAATAAACTGGTTCATCCAAAGGGGGTATATGTACTTTGTTTTCAGTCACACTATATTGTATTTTTGTTTATTTTTATTGGTTTTATCAGAAACTTATTGCAGAAATATGTTGAACATGCTTAGCAGGTGTATACAACACCTTAGGTGCATTTATATGTTATTATTTGTATATAATAGAGTATATATACCTATATAAATGACTATTGCATTGACTGTATAGAGGCAGTGGATGTTAAATTAATAAATAATTGCTTTCCAAACAACAATCAGAGCAAACCAAATGATCAGGCAATGTAAATAATGCTATATGGAACATTGGAAGGAAGAAACCGAAAGCTAAAGTAGATCAGACTGTTATCTGACAGTTAAAAGAGAATATAAATTGTCAGAATATCTCTATAGATAGAAAGCAGAGACAGATCCTAACCAAGAACAGACTCACTGAACACAAAGAGGGAAGACACAAAAAATAATGGCAACCGACAGAAAACAGAATATGTGTTCGCTGTTCCACAGGTGAGGTTGAGACGGAGTTGCACTTCCTCCTACAGTGTAAAACATATGATAATGTTGACAAATGAACCTTTTTCCTTCAGAGGCCCCTTTTGTTTATTTAGTAAACTGACTCATATTATATGGATATTTCATATTATATCAAAACGGTACAACGAACACAAACAGTGAACTCAGGACGTTTGTGTAAAACCAGAGATTGTAATGAATAAAAAAGGTGATTATTTCCTTTTTAGGGAACATTTTGTGGAATTATGTGTCTGTATTATCTAATTTTTAACAATCAAAAATACTTATTAGGATTCTTCTTAGACTATTGTTTTATTAGACAATTTAATTAACAATTGACTTTACTTTACTTACATTTTAAAAAATCTGTTTTTATTTTAACTATAAGTCTACTTTTCATTATTTTTATTATTATTATTATTATTATTATTATCTTACTAATCTGTATATACATATACTTTACATTTGCTTTGGCAATGTAAACGTCTGTTTCCCATACCAATAAATCCCCTTTGAACTGAACTGAATTGATAAAATTGTGCTTTTAGTTTGTAATTGTGTGGATTTATCTGAGTGAAGACTGTGTCCCCTTACAGCAGTGGTTCCCAACCTGGGGGTCGGGACCCCCAGTAGGGGTCGGCAAAGCTTCTCAGGGGGGTCGCAAGGCCTTCTTGATTTGAAGGTGTGCTAGAAAACTTTAAAAAATACATATGTGTGTCACAATGTGTTGTGTCAGTGTATTGTGATGAGTAATGTGAGTATATTTGTAGAGTATTGTCACCATATAAAGTGTGTGGACCCCAGGATATATTGTACAGAAGCTAAGGGGGATCTTAATAAACAAACAAACAAACAAACAAACAAACACAGTAGGCCTATATGTCAATATCTGGTTTACTTCTTTGTAAAAATGTAAATGTAAAGTAATAACAACAACACCAACACTCACATAAATACCTGGACACTCTTCTTCCTTTTTTGTGCAATAACTTAATCCACCGCTTAAGTGCAATCCATTTATGTTTACACTGCTAAATTTCTGCTAATGTCATTTATCCACTGTACTAAATAACACAATGCCATATACAGTCATATATATTTATCTATATTTATCCTCTATACAGTTCCTCTACATTTAATTTATTTGATTTTATTTTACTTTTATTCTTATCTCTACTTTCTATATCTATATTTACTCTCTATATTTAGCTAAGAGTTTATTGTTTATCTTATATTGTATTTTTTTTATACCTCTTTTATTTTCTATACAAGTGTTTTGTAAGCTGCTGGAAATTCTAATTCCTTGAGGGAGTCATCCCAAAGGGATCAATAAAGAGAAGTCTAACAACAACAACAACAACAACAAAACATTTAAATAATCCAGAATAGACAGAATTGTATAAAAAAGTTCCCAAAACAGGAAATAATCTGCTCAGCATTCATCCAAATCCCAAACTTCCTGAGTTCACGGTTTGAGTTCATTGTACAGTTTTAAATATAAAATATAATCTATCCTCCTGAGACACAGCCTATTCATTCAGGTACTCTGTGGTGGACATTGGTCTCTTGACTTATTTTAGCTTCCCTGCCAGGTAACACTTAATATCTCAGGTGTTAGGATTGGATGAGGGGAACTCTTTATCCTTTGGTTCTCAGGAGGATATAAACTCCATAATCTTTATTAAAGCAAGGACAACAGTTTCAGGGGTGCAGATCCGATGTCAGTATTATTACTCTCGCCATATCATTCAAAAAACTGTTATATTAGTAAATCACCAGCGTCTGTCATTAATTTGAACGGTAGTGGAGGAGAGAGAGGTGGAATGTGGAGTCAGAAATATATTAGTTTGTTCCATTTCAATCATTTCTTCTTAGATAAAATAAAATGTGAAGTCTGAAAATACATTTGTTCAATTTTGAGTCATTTAGTGTATTTATACTGGGGGGGGGGTGCAGCAGTGTCCCACAGGAACCGACAGTGCTGCTCTTCCTCTCCCCGCCTGTCGCCAACCTGTGCAGCGGCTCTTCCTCCAGAGGACGCCCGGCTGATGAAGAGGAGGAGCGGACGACCATTGGCTGTCCCGACCGCCGCGGCTGGGAGGCACCGGACTCACGGACCCCGTTTTACGGTCGGAAAACACCTAAAACACCGCGGAACTCGGACGGAGACGAAGGGAATATACTCTTCTTTTATTAGCTGTGTTTTCTCCCGCCACACCCGACCGGATAACAGCTCTCTGACGGTTTAAATGTTGTCTGGAAGTTTTTTTTTTTTGGGGGGAGTCGAGCAGCGATGTGGTGACGCGACGGGGAAGCTAACTGTTAGCCGCTAACGCCACTCGATAAGATTAATCATTACAGCCGCGGAGGCTCCGGAGAAAACCCGGTTTCAGGACCTTTACCGCCTGTTTTTGGTATTTTCGATGATGTAACATGCACCGGTATGAGATGCAGTACCATGCCGTCTACTTTTATACGAAATAGAAGCTACCTAGCTGGCTAGTAGCTGCTGTTTTAAACTGACTTCAAGCCAAAGAACTCTGCTTCCAATTAGCTCGAAGCTAACCGGGCTACAGCTGCCTCCACGTCAGCTCCCTGCACCGACACACGTCTGTCTGCTCTCTCGTCTTTTATTCTGCGTGTTGAGCTCTTGTTTCGGACGATGGCCATGTTGTTGTGACACTTTACTTCCATAAAATCCAGGTATGCAAGCGTCGTACCTGCTGCTGGCGTGCTAACGCTGCGTTAGCCGGGCCACACTGGGAACACTGGGAACACTGCCCCCTGTTCACTCTGTGGGGGTTTCGCTTTGAGGCCTTTTAGGAAATTATCCTCTTTTTTTCCCACCTAGAGACCCTTTTCACAGCCTTAATGCATCCCAGCCTGTGGAAGGACTCCCTGTGAAGAGGCTGTGGCAGCAGCTGGACTGATTAATAAAGTAAATAAAGTTGGATTATAAAAGTGTTTGGATCAACGTTATTCCTCCAAGGTGAGATACAGACACGTTTAACTTCAGGGGGAAGTTGTAGGTGTGTGTTTCAGATGTGTGACTGCATCTTAGTGGAGATTAAACATGAAGTTCATTAGTGTTGTTCTCCATTACAGATGCAGAATTTATCTAAAGTTATTCATCTTTAATGTTTCATCAGTTTGATTCTTGCACAAATGTGGTGTTTACCTTTTTATTCTTCTGTCGTACCAGAGTTTCTTCTCTGTTATAAGATATTATTACGCATTACTCAACAAATGTTTCCTTTATTGTGATAATGATGAATATCTTCACATGTCCTGACTTGAAGAAGCTGTGTCGCTCACCAGCGGTCCTGTATTGATGTCCTGCTTTATTTTAACACAGGGACCAGAGGGAGCCCAGATCTGTCCTAAATCCTGATCCTATCACGCTGGTTCGAGGCTCAGCTTCTCCGTCGTACCCCCCCCCCAAAAAAAGTTAAAACGAACGCGTAGAAATAGAAAATATTCCAAATAAAGAACAGGGAGACACGGTGCTTATCTGGGACGCAATAAACAGATGTTTCTGGACAAAATGTATGTTTTTATGATTTATGTTTTCATGATTATCGTGATAATATCGCAATTTTGGCCAAGATAATCGCGACATGACATTTTCCCATCGTCCCACGTCTCCCTGCACCATCCTGTGGTCCGCAGTCCACGTGGGCTTACACTGAGATCAGTTCACTCATTGATTTCACCTCCAGACAACCAGAACTGATCCGGATCAACAGACACTTCCTGAAGAGCTCGCTGAGAAAGTTAAATTCCTCACAGAGCTCTTCAGGAAAACCTTTTTATATATCTGTCCACCTCAACTGGCAGTGGTTCTGAACAGAGCACACAGAGACCTCCTGTGTACTAACATACGGTTTATACCAGATCTCCTCTTTCCATTGAAGTTCATGTGCTTTATTCTCCGTTACAGGAGCCGCAGTTAATGTTTGATTAGTTTGATACTCGCACAAATAACGGCCACAAGTGGCGTTTCCATCAGTCCTCTGTGGCAGATATGCTCCTCTGTTCTCCCTCGATCATCTTTATCTGATGTGAAGACACACTGCAGAGTTGTTCCTCTGTAATAAGAGCTTTCTGAGGTCTTAGAGGTCTGTGTAAGTGCCCTGCCTCCAGATCGTGGTTTGTCATCTTTACCTTTTGACGTATGGGGACGTCCGTGCTTCCGCCATCTGTCACTCCCGCTCGTGGATGCTGAGTGACCCTCCCCCTCGTAAACAGCGTTGAGCCTGAGTGGCTTGACCTGGATATGGAGCGTCGCTTTTGTATTTTGCTTCTGAAACATTGGGTTAAGTTTGTCTCCTTCCACCAGAAATTGTTTATCATCTGACGTTACTGGAGGTAATTAAGAATGACGGGTTGATTAAAAAGCTGTGTGCAGCTGATTTGGTCCAGAGAAGATACAGTTGAGTGTCGTGCACTGAACCCAACACTGGTTTCTGAAAGCTTTTGGCCTCTCGGGCGATGCACAGAATAAGATGAAGGGGTAGTTCTGGTTGCCACTAAGTTCCTACTGGGTTTGTTCCAGTTGGTAAATTGTTGTTCCTTGTAGGTATGTTAAATCCAGCTCACATGATTCTTGGCTTTTTGTCTAACAGGCTGTCTACAGGACCTAAGCTCCTCGGTGTGGAGACTAATTCCCCAGACCTTCCTGCCCAGCTGTTGTTAGATGCGACATTATACTACACTTTTTTTACTTGCCTCTGATTGATTTAAGGTCCTCTGTTCTTTCCCTGAACAGAGTCTTTGACTGTTTACTCTGCTTGTATATTCCAGCAGCAGTTAACCATTAGTAACAATCAGTACTCAGCTGAACTTCTGCTTGGTCATTAATCTGTTGGAGTAGCCGATGCTTTGGTGTCTGAGTTCACTGATTAAATCACCTCGGAGGTGCACTTTTAGACTTTCCCACTGTCTTTAGTTTTATCTCTAATCTCTCTAATTTAAAAGCCAAATTTTACACCACTTAAATTTACGATTAATCCCCAAAGTGTCGTACTGCCTGTGGAGCCATATATGGATCATTTTGAGGTTTAGTTATTTCCTTATAATTATTTCTTTCTTCATCATTTAACACTTTTCTGTTGTATATCGGCTTAGCCAGTGAGGAGAACGAATGAAAACCTGCGTCTAAGCTCTGGCTGTGGTAGGGAACTCCAACTGACACAAACTGAACTCTCCTCGGACAGGACTGATGTTTCAGAGTCAGATTAATTTGTGTTATGTCTTCTGTGTAAGAAGGGTTTTGTGAGAAATGTTTTAGTTTATTGAACATACATTTCAGGAGATGACAGTGACCAAAGGCCGTCTGTCCCAGCAGAGACACGTAGGTATAATCAATAACATTAATCGGACTGCATTCCTTTTAGATTGTCCAGTTCCAGCCCCCACCTATTCTGCATGCTGGTTCACTGGAATGACTCATGCAGAGCTCACACTACGGGATTTTAGCCCTGATTTTCCACTCGGCAACTATTTTGGGAGATCGCAGACAAATGCCCCCAAATCTGAGGCCGATCGGTGCAGTAGGGCGATGTGTGAACCGTTCAGCAACGCGACTATCGGCTCGACAACAGCAGAAATCCCAAATAATGCCCTTTAGTTTGTGTTTTTTATGATCATGTTAGGAATTTATAATGTGCTGTTAATTCCTGTTCTTGTGCTTTTACTCCTCTAATGAGTCAAAGAAAGTCTGCTTTAAAAAAGATCCATGCAGTTCAGATGTCTTAATACTGAATGTTCACTGATGTCTGTGAGAACTGTTTCTCTGGTCTCCCGTCTAACTGCAGACTGTTTGTTCTCCTGCCGTCTCCTTTGGCCCTGCTCTGTCTTCTGGTTGTAGATGATGTGCGAGGTGATGCCCACCATCAGCGAGTCCGAAGGGGGAGGCGGCGGCGGCCGTCGGGGCTCCGGCTCCCCGCTGCAGTCGGACTCGGAGGGCCACTTTGAGTCGCTGATGGTGTCCATGCTGGAGGAGAGGGATCGTCTTCTTGACACTCTGAGAGAGACTCAGGAGAATCTGGGCTTGACTCAGGGCAAACTGCATGAAGTTAGCCATGAAAGGGACTCACTGCAGAGACAACTCAACACTGCTTTGCCACAGGTAAGTGAGACAGAACTGGGTGATATGAGGATGGATGGGTTGTCAGCTGTAGCAGCCGCCCCCACATTAAGCTGTCCACTACAGAATTAAAATACCTGCCAACTCTCACCTTGTAAAGGTCACATTTTAAAGCAAGGGTTATATTTCAGAAGGGTTTTTTGTTTGTGTTTGTCACAGAGTGGCACACGTGAAAATATATCTGCAATCGCCGGTTCGACGGTGGCCGGTTGGAACATTTTAGTGTGTGCATTGAAAAATACTCATGCCATGCCGAGCACCATTCCTGCGTGACTCTCTGCTGTGTGGGCAGCCAAAGTGTCAGTCTCACTTTTGGATGACAGCTCTTCCAGGTCTTTGGCTCCCGCAGTAGAGAAAGTGATACCAGAGTCTGCTATAGTTTGTGGAGTTGTATGGCCGACTGATTGCAAAATGCAGTGGGGTGTGCACAGAGGCAGATTAGGCCCTCGTGGTCTGCTATGAGCCATTTTACCATTCAGTGAACATTTAAACGAGCGCAATAAATAACCTAATGACCGACCACAGTCATCTTCAGAGTGGGCAGATTTGCTTCTTGTCTTTTGCTTCAGACAAAGACGAGGAGCAAAAATGGAGAGCTTTATTTCTTTCCCTCCAAATGGAGCAACAGTTTAATGTATTAGGTCTACTTACAGTAATTAGGTTGTCACAGTAGTGCCTCTGTTTTTCCTGTCTGCATAACATAATGTGGAGGGACAGTGATCCCGACCGTGTCCATCTGCTTGCAGCTCCCTGTTATATTAATGACTGTGGTCTTATATTTAAAACAAAGGCATCAGGTTTCCAGTTTTTAATGATGCATAAGAGGCTGGTTACCGCTTATGTGTTGTCGTTGAGTTGAACATGCATCCAGTGTATGAAGTTATGACGCTGGTTATTTTCAGGGTTTGTTTCACGTTATATTAAATGAGCGATCACAGCTCAGAATATGACAGATTACTGATCAGCGTGCTGAAAGCAGAGCGGTCTGTAGATTGTGAGGGACCACTGCAAATGGAGAGCGGAGCAGATTACACAGTGCTGATAGAACTGATAGAATCACAACCTTCCCAGAACATCAGATGGTAAGAACTGATGGTAAACACACGTGGTGGATGTCGAGGACTGTCTCTGCAGCTCTGTGATGTACAGCCAGAAAAACCTCATCCAAAGTGTAAACACTGTTAGGACTCAACACTTAATGCAGTGCAGAATAAATCTATGTCAAAGTAAAGCATTGGCGTCATCTCTAGCATTCTCACAGGTTGTTTATGGATGTTGAATTGATGGCAGCATTGGAGGTGAGCTACTTGTTTACATGATACGTGAAGCTACCAGACTTTGCACACACTGTGCAGTCCAACTGTCACCATTATTAATGATTTCTTTAGTTTCACACACATACAATTAACACTAAGGTTACCAGTTACACACACATGACTTTAATCTGTTTGTTGGAGGAGTTGATCTCCAGTCAGACTCCAAGTCATTAACTGAACCTGGCAAATCAATTCTTGTAAGCTATAGACAATGAATCAAGGATTTATTCCGGCTAAAAGCTGAAGATATTAAGGCTGTAATCCTGTCGACAGAGGGGCATCCACGGGCTTTACACAAGGATGTGCAGTAGCCAGCGACGGGGGTCTGGGCCATGATGTAAAAACCCAAATTTGGAGTCTTCTGGTGCTTTGTAGTGCTACTGTTCCTCCCTATCATACACACTGATCTTAATTATTGCACATTTTAATCGCTTACCAAATGTAAACATGTAGTGAAATATTATATATGTAATAGCCCACAAAGTCTTTTAATGGATATTAATGTTGAAAATCCTGCCTATTCCTGACCAGAAAGAATAATTGTATTTATTTATTGACATTCCACTATGATGGTTAATGTTTTGTTTTACTAGAAGCATAAATGCAGTCTTATTCAATTAAATAAAGAGATTATTTTCAGGAAGAACATATTTTAATCCCATTTCTTATCCAGCCTACAATTGGTTTTACATTAAAGACTTAATAGTAATGAGTAAAAAAAAGTAATTCATGAATTAATTCATTCATTAAGCCCATAAACGTCTCTGTGTCATATATGGAAATGCAGCACTTTCAGTGGACTTAATGTTTACTGCAGTCATCACGGTGCTGCCGCTGGTTTAACCTGTTTTCAAAATTGCAATCAGTTTCATTTTAAATGTACATTCTCATTTTTATTCAAACACTGACGATGTTTCCCAACATTTTGGTTGTGGTTTGAAATCTTAGTCTTGAAGCCAGAATAATAGGCTAATCCACTTCAGTCTTCTGCTCTATATGTTCATCTTTTCTTCCTTTTGTTGATCTGAGAAGTATCTGAGGCCTTCAGTCAGACTAAAGTTCATATAAATGCATCGCTGCGTGTCTGTATGTGTGCATGCACACTGCTGTGGTGTGGTCAGCTGATCATCTGGCTGTCTGCCAACCCTCCTGGGATTTGTATCTGAAAGGCAAAAAAAATCCAGCTGTTAAAAAAGTAGAAGCACTTTACATGCTGTAATCTGGTGTTAATACACTAAATAACAATCCAAAACTCCTTTATGGGTGTCTTCACTTAATTCCACAAATTGATTAATATCATTGTGTAAGAGGCATTTGATAACCTCATTCACATTCCAGATGATATAAACTTGTAGACTTAATTTAAGTGTATTGAAGACAGAAGGTGGTAGTGACAGCACTTTTCAATTTATTGTATTTTCAAACATAATTGGAAAGTGTAGAAACCAAAGTTGAATATCAAACCACGGGACAATCAGCCTGATGACTGCACTGACATACATTCCTAATAACCTTAAGAGAGGTGTGATTGGTGCCATCTTGTACTACTGCGCTGGAGAGAGTCCAGGTCTTCAGGCTGGAGTAGGTAGGCAAAGGGGAGGTGCAGTTTTCTCCCTCGTTCCCTCCCTCCTGGTGAGAGTACCCTTCGACAGGAATGCACAAACATTCCTGGGCAGCTTGCTCACACGTCAACAGCTTTTTCAAACTCCAGCGGTGCCCTTCTGGATGGTGTTATTTGTTCTTTTCTTTTCTTTTTGGTGTATGTGTTCCTGAGTCCGACACTCCCACAACCAATGTAATCTTGTGGATAGCTCATTGACTCCCAGTTTTAAATGTGTGCACAGATAGATTTAATCCAATTTTAGGGCCCACATGTTGCGGTGAAGTCAATTTCTGTGCTTCTGTCAGCCAAGGCTTGTAATAGTTTTCACTTGAAGTGGGCTTCACTGGGTGTGTGTTTGTGTCTGCTGGCAGTGAGTTTCCAGCTGTTTTCTACAACTACTGTAAAGATTGTTGAGGCAGTAAAAGACAAAGAAGTGGTAGTAGTTAGCTACGTGCGTGGTGTATCATTCATGTCTTCATTCATGTCTTTCCCACACACACTGTCTAACAAAACTCTAGGCAACTGCTGTCCTCCCCCAACCCCCCCCTTGTAGAAAGAGAAAATGTGGAGACCACAGGGCATCATCAGACACACCAAAGTTTCTCATTTGTTCAGTGGAAGAACTGGTTTGTGCAGAGGGATCAATGACATTTCCACATGGCTCTCATGTAAAAACATTTTAGTTTTATCCAACATGTGAATTAAATGGAAGTTAAATTCAGATTAGTGAGACAGAACAGCTCCACTGATGTACCCCCCCTAACTGATATCATTGATTACCTTTAGTTATTTGATGTGTAACGGTCTAATTCCTGAATCCAACCAGCGTGAGGATGATGCATGGTTTCAGTTTTCCAACTGCTCTTGTTTGCGTTCACAAAGGCCAGAAATTGTAAACTAAAGTCATTTAGTGGAGATGCTGTTGGATTATTGGTCTTACAGTTGGTGAGTAAAAAGACAACAAAATCTGCCTCTGTATCGTACATCTGGAGCACATATCAGCAGACTTTAGAGGGCTGCGCTTCTGTACAGCAGATATGAAATATTTTAATAATGCAGACATTTTGATGAAATCATAGAAGACAGATACTAATTCACCAAAACGGGAAGAGAAAACACATACAATGGTGTGCTTCCTGTGATTGGTTCGAATGGTGTACACACCAATAAGGAACCACTCTAGGGTTCACTGGACAGCGGTCTAAGATCACCAGAGAGCGGTTTGTTTGAGTCCGACAGCTGGGGTGAACCCAACATAAGATACCTGACATTCTGCGCGTTGTACATCAGTCCAATAGCTCACTGTGAATAAGGGATGTCGTGTCCTAGAGACTACTGTTTGAAAAAGGTTAATGTTTATTACTAAAAGGGGCTTCACGGTTGTTAAGACCATAAGTGACACTGCCATGCAAAAGGCAAGGGCCTGTTACAGTTGACAGAGGTTAGTCTGAGTAATGGACCCTGTGGCTGCTTGTCTCGGTCAAGGCTCCTGTTCTGGTCTCACATTGGTGGATTGAAGTCGCATCACTGCCTATCCTACACCGCTGGCTGAAAATCCAGCCCTTTAGACTCCAGGAACACAGTGCCGGCAAACTAACCCAATTTCTTAAACAAGGAAAAACAAACCTTGTTTATTTTGGAGGGATGCACTCCCAGTACTTCACGTCCACCTCTTGTGGTGTTTGAATGTACTTATTGTAAGTTGATTTGGATAAAAGCAAATGAATGTTATCTTTATGTAAACATCCATGAGTTTGAGGCCTTATCAGCTACCAAAACACTGGTTTATAGACACAATTTTACAACTTTATCAAGTAATTTATCCTCCACAACAGTAGAATTACACTCTCACTATAAACGAATGTGTCAGGAGTGAATGTTTGCATGCATTCGATTGGCCAGCGCAGTGCTTTGTCTGCAAACTGTTTCATTTTAAATGGAAGTGAAGACAGGAACTACTCCAGTCAGTGTGCGTAATGAACAGAACTTAACCCCGTATATAGCTGAACAGGTCCTGTGTCCTCCCATCTGGCTTAAACTATTGTGCAAGATGAGAAACTGTTATGTGCTGTAAGAAGTGAAAGAGGAAGAAAATAGAGGTAGATACCTCAGTTCTGGGGATGTGATTTGGTAAACATTTGGTGTCTTTATGGCAAAAGTCATAATTCAATCTTGCTGATGTGTTATTCAAAAACGGTGTCATTTGGTAGTTGTTTGTGATATTTTCCTTCTTATTTTGAAAGGACCAATTTACCCCACTGACCAAATTCTATATTCTAGTCAGTGACACAATGGCATGAATTGAGAATGCACAGTGGTAAGACGGAGACAAAGGCCCACTTGTTCCACTCAGTGACATGAAAGTGACAGAGTGCAAGTGCTGCCTTTTGCCAACTGTGAGCTGAATTAGAAACTTGAAAGGGAACAGACACAAGGAAGACAGGGACGGCCGTGCTCCTGTTCGCTTTGGCCCGATGGCAAACGGCTTTCTGCTGTCCACTTCCTACAAGCTTCGTTAACTGTGCAGGGTTTATTTTGTGAAGCAGTCGTCTGTAGCCTGTTTGAGGAACTATTAGTTTCATGGCATTCAGCCAGATCAGTATACAGTCTTAATACGTTTCATACAGTAGCAGACACAAGGCAGTTTAATTTAATTCCACTTTAATCATTACAAAATGACCTTACAGTTGTCAATAACGACCCTTACACAGTTGTTAGTCGGTGCATCGGCGTCCCCTATAGTTCAACATATAGACCCATCGCGTCTGTTGGTTTGTCTAATGTTACTTTCTCTGCTCGCCCATAAAGAAGACACAGTCAGGACTAGGCATGTCTGGAGAGGTGTAACTGAAAACAGACCAACGTTTTTAGTGTCCACATACATTTCTAGTGCCGTCAGCTTGGTGCACTTTGTGTATTTTACAGTGAAAGAGCACCTCTTTGTAGCCCGAAGCTACTAAGATGAGAACTCCTTCACTCTTTCCACTAACTCTTATTGATTTCTTAGATTTCCATAAAGCTGGGTATTGGGAACTTATTTAGAATTAGAAACATTTTACAATGTCAGGAATTTAAGAATTGTGCTTTTTGATCTTCCTTATCCCATTCCTAAAAGCTGGACCTACTACACTGCCTTAAACCCACCTCTGCTGCACACGTGTCAGTTATGACGGTTGTCCAGACTGCAGTGAAGGCTTTTACATACCCTCAGCTCACTGTGGCTGCAGCTTTGCTTGGAGCTCCTCCCTCAAATATGTTCAACTGATCCAGTTACAAAAATCTTTATTTACACCTGTTTTAATACAGTTTATTTGGCTAACAGCTAGTCTGGGCTAAAGGAACCTGTTGCTACTTCACAATAAAAGCCTCACAAAGATTGAAAAAAGTAGCAGAGCTTATAAATTGTGGGTGCTTGGTCAAGTAGGTGAAAACACTGGACACAGAAACCATATTGTGTTAAATGACTCTTCATTTCAGCCCAAATCTGAATAAAGCCCGTTTTTGCTGTTGTTTCCATTAACAGAATACGTCGAGAACCAAAAACTGTTTTGCAAAGTCAGAATTGAGAATTGCTGGGAATGTAAATGTCACCCAACTGAAATAGCTGCCATCCTGTCTGAAGATATTGTCATTATGTAATCTGTCTGTCAACTGTGACAAACCGTGTAAGAGAATGGCGAGCTCATGACGCTCTTCTTCTGTTACACTGAATAGTAGTTAAGCGAACTGCTGAAGTAGAGAAAGAGACTCTACCAAATACGCACAATGGTCCTTCTCAGTTGTAAAATGTTGACTGTTTACGTGCTGCGGGGAGCAGAAGAACAGAGGATGTAATGAAGTGTGTGAGGACCCCACAGGAAGCCATTTCTGTTCACATTTTAAGCAAGACATCTCCTGAACAGGACACTATGATCTTCTTAATGGAAGGGACTTGAGGTAAAGATGCAAACGAGCATTCGGTCAGCTCGTTTAGATTGACTTCTTCTCCCTGTCTGTGTGTGTTTGGGCAGCAGGCGATGCAGCTCTGAATAGGAGCCATTGTGGTGTCTAATTAGTTTTTGACGGTGAGTCCTCCTCTAGGAGAACAGATGCCCTCTGCACAGTGTCAGATTTCAGCACGCGCTATAAGCTTTTAAGAGCGGCTAAAGTCATTATGTAGGAGGTAGGCCTATTGGTTCCGATCTCCAAATACAGCACAGTCTGACGATGGTATGGTGTTGGAAAGAAAAAGAGCTTATTCTAAAGCCTATTCATCAGCTGCCATGCACTGAATCCATAAAGTGCACTGGTACTGGTAAAACAAAATGTTGAATAAATTAGTGTTATGTAGGTTTGGAAAACAGACTGCCAGTGTTTAGAACAGCTGCGTCCTGTGGACGACCACTGCCAGCCTTACAGACAATTAACAAATAATCTGTCCATCATTTTCTCAATTAATCCATTAGTTGCTTGGTTCATGTTGATCACTGCTTCCCAAAAACTCCATATGACATCCTCAAGTGTATTGTGTTGTCCACAACCAACATGTATAAAATGTACTGGGCAAAAGAAACCAGAAAAGGCTTTTTGTTAAAAAATGACATAATGAAAAAAGATAATTTAATAATCGACAATTTGTGGATTAATGGACTAATTCTAGCAGCTCTACAGCAGGGAGGGTAGACATGACATGGTATGGAATGATGTTGAATGCTAACATGTCCACATAATCCCATTTACTCTTATCAAGTATACTGCATTTGGAGTTTGTGTTACATTCCTGTCCTTACTATTGACATAACAGAGAGGAGTCTGACCGTTTCCTGATCTCCTTCCCTTCTGCAGCGTTGCCAGAGCCGCAGTGAAGTCTGTTCCTCTCCTGCAGTGTTTCTAACTCATCTGCCAACAAATAAAAGGCGTTGTCAAAATGTCACTAAAGAAAAGATATATATATATATATATATATATAAATATATATATATATATTTAGATG